TCTCTCTCTCTCTCTCTCTCTCTCTCTCTCTCTCTCTCTCTCTCTCTCTCTCTCTCTCGTCGTGTGTCATAAAGCGTCCTTCGCCAGTTTACCGGCAGTGGGATCTGAGGGTGTATGGTCGAGTCCCAACTATTCTCTCAGAGGGCCCTCAAAGGACTGATAAGCAAACTGGTGACTTGGAAAGGGCCGTCAGACAGATTAACGCCGATACAACTAAAAAAATGGAAAGAAAGGAGGGTGGGGAGTGAAAACGATTGCAAGAGAGCATGGAGGAGGGAAGCATAACAACTCACGCGAGGATCCATTTGCCATCGAGAAGTGCGAGAGATTCCGTAGGAGAGGGAGTGGGGTTCAGAGCCTCCAACTGCGTGATTAATTCCATGATCTCCGCCCGCGTTTCGCTGCTAGCTCGCAGCCCCCTGTCCGTAGCATAGAGGGCGTCGATGAGCGCGCTCTTGAGCTCGGCAACCTTGTCGGACGGACTGGCTTCCACTGCGACAGCAGTAGCACCACCTCCCTCCCCGGTCTCCACAACCACCTTCTCCTCCTCCTCGCTCTCAAATCCTGCGGAAGGCTGGTCGTCGTCCAAAGCCGCAACCACTGGAGTTAGCCGCTTCCTGGTGGCCTTATTAACCCCTTCTTGCTGAGCCGCCGCACCTAAGTGGAAAAGACTGGCGCTGGAGCAGAGAGAGGCTATATGCTTCGCGCTGGTGGCGCGCAAGAGACTGGCGCTCGACAGCGCAGCGCCGCCGCCGCCCTTTCCAATCTGATGCTTGGCGCTGAAGGACCCCACAACGGGAAGGGCAGTAGCAACGGCCGGCGATCTGACGTCAGACCGAGCATCGTACGACTGGCAAGCGGCGACAGCGGGGCCGGTTGCCAGCTCGCAGCAGACGGCGGAAGCCATAGCGCGTTTCGACCAAGACGATTAACGACAGAAAACGTGAAGTTCACGCAGAGAGGGAAGAAGGCGGGGTTGGTCACCACAAGGATGATGGACGAACGCACGAACAGAGGCAGGCGGACCCCGTAAGCGGCGCTGAATACTGAATACCCGCCAAGCCCCCGCTGCGTTTGGACCCCGCCGGTGATGGCGGCGGGAAACAGCCGACTCACGAAGATCGACCCCCCCCCCACCGACGATACGCACAACAACACAACAGTTACTGTGGCGCGAGGAGGAGACTCAAAATGAAAACTCAAAATGAGAACTTGTGGCGCGAGTTGGAGACTCTGAGGCTCAAATGAAAAATTGTGGCGGGCGAATTGGTACCGACGTGGACGACTCAAAATGAAAACCTGTGGCGTGAATTGGAGACTCTGAGGCTCAAATGAAAAACTGTGGCGGGCGAATTGGTACCGACGTGGACGACGCGCTGCGCGCGCGGCGTTGAAAACCTGCCCCCCTGGCGATGGCGGGAAACCAAAAAACCGTAAGTCCCGAGGATCCACCGCCCAGCGCGCGCGGGCGCTCCAAGCAGACGACGACGATGCGAAATTGGCGAGTGAGGCTCAGATGAAAAGTTGGCCGACGAAGCTATGGCCTTACTTGGACGTGGGGTGCAAATCAACAAACGCGCCACGATGCAAGCACAGAGGGCAATGGCCCACGGTGGCGGGGGAAGCGGGCGAACGAACGGACGAACAGAAGATTCGCGACGAGTGTGTGCTGGCAAACAAATCGAATAGAATCGATCAAGTCTGGCTTGTAGCAAGCAATCGAGAGTACGGCATTATTTTTTTTCGAGAACGGCAATAAAAAGAGCACAGAATCTGCCGAGGAAAGAACAGGCAACGAGAGGAGGGGAGGGAGTCAGTCTACGTAGCCTACCCGAGCAGAGCAGAGGGGAGGCGCTGAGAGGAGAGCAGAGGAGAGGGAGGGAAGTCAGAGAGGCGACCGGCAGAGGAGAGGAGAGGAGAGGAGAGGAGAGGAAGGGAAGTCAGACAAGCGAAGTTAGCTGGGTGGATGGCCAGGAAGAAAGAAGGGGCTGCGAGCGGCGGGTGTGCAATCCAAGACAGAGCGTCGACTGACCAGAGCTTACTTTGGCTTGACCTGCAGTTCGAATCGGGGTTCGGCACCCCGGTGGTTGGCAAACCGGCGGGGTGAACGTATGTCGACACGCAGACCTGTGGTCCCCCCTGCGTGAGTGAGCGAGAACTTCACCCCGGTCTCGGTCCCGGTCCGGCGACGACCTCCACGCTTATAAGTTGCTCTTCTAGCACTAGCAGAGCTAACAAGCTCTTCCACCTTATATTGACTTCATTCACGGCCCGGGACCCGGTGGGCAACCCTTAGACACGAGGAAGCCATTCGGCCTCGCTCCGCTACTCAGCATTCGATATTCCCCTTTTTTTTCTTTTTTTTTTTAACATTCGATATTCGATATGTACCAGGAATGCAGGATGGGCCTGGTACTTTCGGACCGACCCAACATTTTGAATGTATTGGGATCATTACCGCCTCCAGGTACATTTCGAATGTTGTGTAGTGGAGCAATGTCATTGACTTGAATAAGGTCGTGACTTCAGTTGTGACCGTTAGGGGTTGGTTTGACGGCATCCACGTAGCATGCATCACGTAGCATCCAAGCTTAGGGCCTACTCGCATCAGCACTTTCTAACATGTATCTGACTTCTATTACCGCCAAACCTGGACGAATCTAACTGCAATCACGTCCAGATTTTGGTAGAAAAAGTCCTCCTGTGAGTATGATCTTTCTTACCAATTCCACGCCTCTATCCAGGGTTTAGATGAAATGTTCAGCGTCAATACAAGGTTTCAGGCACTCACCCTGCATGTGTGCACCTCTCGCATTCCCTCTCGTCTGTGCGTGCACTCTAATCTACAAGGTCTCAGATTGTGGTTGGTAGCATTCTCTCTCCTCTATCTAGGGGCTCCCACGGAGTGCTCGACGTGGTACAAGGGGTCAGGTACTCACCGTCGATGTGGTTGCTGCTGTACGGGCCGGAGCTGTATAAGGTAAGGGATCGTTGATTCAGAAATACTAAGTGGAATTTTACAGGTGTTTTCGTGCTTTCTTAGGCACGAACATGTTACCGGGGCTGAGGTCCCACCAGCACCTGAATCTGGATGTGGTTTTAGCAGAGATGCAGAAAGGCAGTTCAATCTCGATTTCCTGCACATCTCCATAAAGTCGTCCAGATTCAGGTGTTCGATCCGATCCTCTTTGCTAGTGGGACCACGCCCCAGTAGGTGCGCCTTTACGGGCCGGAGCTGTGTAAGAGACCGCTGTCCAATTGTTGGACTAAAAACGAGAAATACTAAGTGGAAAGGAAAGCACGAATCCACCTGGTAACATCGGCCAGGTTCGCTTTTAGATTGCTGTCTCTTATACACATCTAGATGTGTATAAGAGACAGGTGCTGGACGGGGGAACACCAACCAACCGGGATCTCTCCCCAGCCCACAAGGCTGTACCAGTCCCTCATCACGGTGACGAGGGGTGGGCAGGCATTGCCGATGGGGGAAATCGGCGGTGCTAGCGCCGAGCAATGGCCAGTCACTGCACCTCCCCCTACCCCCCCCCCAACCCCACATCGCGGTGTCTAATGGCCAATATGGTAGCTCCATAGCAACCAACAACATCAACCAAGGTCCTGCCAATGCTGGCTTGGGGGGCCAACGGGTTATCTCTAGCTGGTAGAACACCAAGCTTGCCAAGGCACGTACGTGAGGCCAATGGGGATTGAACCCACGACCTCCTGAATGCAACTTCTGTGCCTTACCAACGAGCTTTTAGAGTGCTCCACAGCAAGTCTCTCTTCCTACACTGGCGCCTTGCTCCACTAGACAGCACTCTATATGTAGCTAGTCCTCATTAACGTGCGGATACGTTGAAAACGTTGAACTCCTCCGAATGCACCTGCCGCAGGAAGGAGTCCAAATGCATGTACAATGTTGAGTGGTGGAGCGAGGCCCCTTGTGTGGGCTGTTTTCCTGCCCTTCACATGTTTTCCTGTCCTCTACCTCATTGGTCACATGTTCTCCTGTCCTCTACCTCATTCATTCTTACTCCACCCTTCTCGGAGAATCTTTCGATTGCAGGGCTTTTTTTTTTTTTTTTTTTTTTTTTCCCTCGGTAACGATTGCAGTTCATGAAGAGTGCAATATGGCGAAGGACCGCAGAACGAGGGTTTCTCACCGTGAAATGGGTTCCACAGCACTGTCCAATTTTGCCCAAGTATTGGAGAGTGGTGTGGCGAGCCCCAGGAACAATCTCGCTCGTCGTAGGTGGAGCAGCCACTGCCTCTTGTCTGCTTCCTTTGCCTGTCTCATGCGCTGCCACGTTGACATAAATTTCGGGGTACTTATGGGTCAGTTATGTGTGTGGGCCTGCAGGGCACTTTCACGGTTGGTTCTGCTTGTGACACGTGGCTTCATTTTTTTGTTTGCATAACTTCAGTTTTCATCACGAACTTCCACGGGGCCTTGCTGGGTAATGGGTCGGCCTTGGATCCAGCCCATGCGGCTGAAGGTTGCACCCATGAACTGTTGAGAAGCAGGCCAGAGTTTCTGATCCCTTCTTTTTTTTTTTTTTAACACACAAACAAGCTCCACGTCTTGGTGGGGAGCAGCACCTGCTGGAAACCGGGTCCAGCGTCCCTCAGATACAACCACATCTTCACAAATTGGCACAAACTGGGAACCGAGCCCAGCGTCCCATAACGAGTACGTTCAGAAAACTTTATCAGAACATTTCATGAAAATGAGACAAGGAACTACTAGAAAAATCTAATTGGCCTAAGGATTGAAATTTAGAAATTGAGATACCGGGGACATTACCCCGCTTTGGCTCAAAGAATTGGAGCTACTTCAGACATGTCTATGACAACCTTCATGATTAAGCAGAATTCAGAAACGGCTCAGAAAAAACCCCATCAACCCACTTTACCCCCCTCCGGCAAGACTGACTGCAGCGGAGCCACCATCTCTGCTGCTGCTATGCCATACTCCCATCCTGCCAGCTAGCCCCCTCACTGCTAGGACGCGTGATAACCCACCATCTTCTCCCACACTCCTTATTTTCTTTTTGAAATACCTAAGAACTCTTACCGTCGCTCAAGAAGCATGAGAATAGGCTACAGAGGTCCTACGATTGTTCCCAAACCCTCGAAATCCCACACCAACCCTTCCAACGTTCTCCAAAACTGCCGTACTCCCTGCCGATCTCTTCTAGGTGACGAACCACTTCACGACCCCGTGCCATCCTTCGTACCCTTTCTTTTGCTTGTATCATACCAACCCCAGGAAAACCCCGTTTTGATTTCTTGATTTCAGGTGCCGCATTTTCCTTTTTGAGAGCTTTTTCGACTGCTGAGTTCTGTTTTTCTTTTTGCAAAGTCGGGAAATACATGGGAATTTACGTGCGCCTTAGCGAACGCACTGGGAAATGGGCTCGGTAGTTGGGAATTCCGGGATAAGCGGAACTTCGACGTGTCCTTTTTGGGTGTGTGAATGTTCTTGGGCGCGTCGGGGAAAACCCTCTGAATTTTGCGTAAATACAAATAGGAGTAGGATTTTCTTTTCCCGCGTCGCTTTTTCACGTGCGGATATGGTGATTTCAATTTTGAATTAGGATAGAAGCAAGCTGTAACTGTTTCGGTGCCTTTTTCCTTTTTTTGTTGACGGCGCCGTGCATGCAAAAGCTTCCTCCTCTCTGTCCCCCGCATCGCTCCCTCCCGCGCCTCCCTTCCCTTCTCCCTCCTTTTTCTCTCTCCCCGTTATTGTTTTTCCTTCTCCCTCTCTCTCTCTCCCGCCTTGCTTTCGCGCGCCCATTTCCCTTTCTTGATCATCTGAATCTTGGACCCGTCTTGCACCACCTCTCGCGCCTTTTCTCTTCTCACCCTCTGAGTCTGGCGTACGACGACGCCTGGTCGATCCCCCGATAACTCCCGCTAGCCAATCAGGTGCGTGGATCGATAGGACCTTCCTATCGCGCGACGAATCTGATTGGTTGAACGTTGAGTTCCGAGGGATCAGCATAGCGTTCGTAGAGCACTCTTCTCAAAGTCTTTTCCTCCTGCTTCTCCTCTTACACCTCAGCTTTCCGGTCGCCTTCTCCCCCTTCTATCTCCCCTGTCGCAACTATAAAACCCGCAAGCGCGTCCGCAAATCTCTCTTACGTTCTCGACTCCCAAGCCAGCTTCCGGGAAGCAGTGGCTAGGCAGAGTGTTTTGAAGCGAGTCAGAAAGTCCTGTCGGGCTGATGATAGGCTGGCCGGTTGCGCGTTGGATCGCCACGACGGACTGTGGGATCTGGGTGAACCGTGTCGAGTTTACGATAGCTGGGTGACGATCGCAGTGGTGGGAGTTAGCACGCGACGACCGGGATCGTCGGTGCGGGTATGAGGATTGATGTTCGGAATTGAGTTGATTGGCCCGGGGCCATATTGGAATTAACGGCGAATGCGCCTTTGTTGCGGATTGTTATCTTTGGCGTGAGTGTACGGCGGCAACGCCGAACTTTTCTCTCTCCAGACCTTGTCGTCTTCTATTTTGATTTTCTTTCCCTCGACTCTCACTCTCTCTCTCACTCTTTCTATTTCTTCCTCTTGTTGAATGATGATGCGTCCGAATGATTGTCCCTCTCCCGGATGGGAATGAGTTTGCATCTTGTTTCTGTATGAAAGAACTCCTTCCAGAACTGTTCTATTAGTTTCCTGGGTAATCCTCCTACGCAAGGACCCTGTCTTCTTGTCTTGTGAATGGTGGATGCGTATGTACTGTGCAATGCGATCTATCCTTTCCTGTGCATATCTTATTTTCGCACCTTCCACAGTGGATGCATGCATGGAGACGTGTGATTCTTTTTTTGATTAGACGATTGTCGTCGGGATTTTGTCCAAGAATGCAAGAGTGTTTAGATCAGTAGCTCTGTTTGCACTGCGGATGCCATCTACCTTATGTTGCACGACATCAGCAGTCGAGCCACGAGGCGGCCCTTAGAAACAAGTCACCCAGGGACCAACGTTGTGTTGAAATGATCAGACCCGTAGCCATATGCGTGATCAAGTTGATTTGTGTTTGCTCTCTCTCTCTTGTGTCAAAAAGATTGATCGAGGGAGGAAGGGGGAAGCGCGAATCGCTTTTGTTCTTAATGACGTCTCAGGATATTTTGTGATTGATTGACATGTGGACTGACAAGAACCATTCGATTGGGCGCCAGCCTCCCGT